GCTAAACACACACACACACACACACACACACACAACTATGGGTTAGACTTATAGCAGTGCCATTCTTCTTGCTTTTAGTGGATAACTCTGCATCAAATAAAATTGAGACTTTGTGTATCTTAAGTGGAAGAAAATAAGCAAGGGATTTCTTGGTAAAGGTAGTAAGGAGAGGAAACAAATGATAAAACGTAAGTGCTTTTTATCTGGAAAAATTGGGGGGGGGGAGAAATTAAGGTTTTGGGATCTGTTTGGGTCTGTTTAGAACTGCAGAATCTCCAGCAATCTGAAGAAACAAACTTGGTCTGGCAAAAGACAGTCACTCATATTGCACTCACTTTAGAAATTAACAATAAAAGTGAACATCTGTTTTAGAAGCTGCCTATGACATGCAGGCAGAACTGGGCTAACACTTTAAAAGCATATTGGTGCCAGCACAAAAAATAAGGCCCCATTTACTAGCTTCAGCATGTGCCTGCAGCCATGTTTAAGTATCTACCCTTAAATCAACATTTTATTTATTTATTATTTAAATTTCTATACCGCCCTTCTCCAGAGTAGGACTCAGGGCGGTGAACAGCCAGAATAAAAAACAATACATACAAAATTTAAAAACAATTTAAAATAATTAAATATTATTGGCCGTAAATTAAAATAACCCAATTTAAAATCAATTTAAAATTAATCAAGCCAGCCCCGCTAATTGAAATAAATGGGTTTTCAGGGCCCGACGAAAAATCCGGAGGTCTGTTATTGTACGTATCTCCGGGGGGAGGTTGTTCCAGAGGGTGGGCGCCGCCACAGAGAAGGCTCTCCCCCTGGGGGTCGTCAGCCGACATTGTCTGGCGGACGGCACCCTGAGGAGGCCCACTCTGTGCGAGCATACTGGCCGGTGGGAGGCTATTGGTGGCAGAAGGCGGTCTCGTAAGTACCCCGGCCCTAAGCCATGGAGCGCTTTAAAGGTGGTCACCAACACCTTGAAGCGCACCCGGAAGACCACCGGGAGCCAGTGCAGCTCGCGCAGGAGAGGTGTTACGTGGGAGCGCCTCGTCGCCCCCATAATCCCCCGCGCGGCTGCGTTCTGGACCAGCTGGAGCCTCCGGGTGAACCCCAGGGGGAGCCCCATGTAGAGAGCGTTGCAGTAGTCCAGGCGGGAAGTGACGAGTGCCTGAGTGACTGTGCATAGGGAGTCCCGATCTAGAAAGGGGCGCAACTGGCGTATCAGGCGGACCTGATAAAAAGCCCCCCTGGCCACGGCCGTCAAATGATCTTCCAAAGACAGCCGTGCATTTGCAGTACATTAAAAATAACTTTTATCTTAATTTGCTCAAAAGAAGGGGACAGATCCTTAACTGCATGCCAATGCAATGCTTTATGAACAATCCCAAATTGTTCTAAATTATATTCAGTCCCTTTAAGACTGGCTAAAGTTTTCCTTCCTTATCTAGAAACTGATAGGTTCCTTTGCCTGTTGTAATAGATTTGCTTGGCCTGGTGTAAGAAAACTTAAACTCTTTTTAAATTAGAGGCAAATACCATCAGTGTAATTTTAAAATATAATACTAAAGAAGAAGAATTTAATATTTTCCATGTTTTTTTGAATATGGCAAATAAGTGTTAATCTATTCTTTCATAAAGTGCTTTTGACAGCATGTGTTTATTTTATTATTTTAAATAAAATTACAATTACTATAGTTAAAAGGCTATGATATTGTTCCTTTTTCCTGGACAGATCCACATGGCACAATTGGGGTGCTGAAATAGCTTGTTGCTAATTTATCAATCCTTTCTCCTTTCCTTTCGTTCCATTCTTTCAGACAACACATCCTCACCTTATAGGATGGATTAAGAAAGTAACAGCACACAACTTGTTTCATAAGCTAAATAGTAAAGTATAATAAAGATTAAAAAATATAATAATAACTAATCAACCAATGATTTATTGTTATTTGTGAAGTTCTAATTTTGGAAGAAAATTACATTTCCTATGGTCATTTATACTATTGATTCTTTTTATTCAGGTGTGGGTCTAAAGCACACCTGAATAAAAAGGTGGGGAACTATGACCCTTTTATGACTTGTTGACTTACATCCCAAAATTCCTGAGCCATGTTGGAATTCTGGGAGTTGAAGTCCATAGTCATAAAAGGGTCAAAGTTCCCCACCTCTGGTCTAAAGCCAGGGAATCATTATTTATTTTATGAAAGATAAGAGAGCTCCTCATTTGTTTGAATGGTAATTGTGTGCTAAGCACTTTGACATCCTCAAGAGTTTTACTGAATAACAGAATAACAGAGTTGGAAGTGACCTTGAAAGTGTGATTGTCTACCTTTATGCTAATTTGATTACTACTTTATATTAATCTTTTAATAGAAGAACACAATGTATTTATACATTATTTGAGGGGTAATCAGAAAATATAAAACAATCTTGCTACAGCACAAATATATTCTCCTTCATTACTCATCATTTTATACTGTTTTGGTATTGACATGGAAAGTCAATATCATGACCGAAATGCTACCTGTGTGAAATTAAAAGCATTTGCAGAACTTCATCATCTGTTTTCCATCATGCTGTTTGGAATGGAAAGTTATGTTTTAAGGGCATTATTTATAACCTGCTAAGTCTTTATTCTCCCTTTGAAGTGAAGAGTCTGGTGGAATAAATGTGCGAGGTTTGCCAATTTGATGAAATGTTTTTGAAGGTGCTATTTGATCTCCTGAAACTACCCTTTTCTCAGTATGTCATTGAGTTAGGATTCTAAAATTTGACACCCATTATTCTAGAAGAAAGTGAAACCATTCTGAATCTTGTGATCAGAATACGGAAATATAGGACAATTTAAAAAAAAATTTTTTTTGATGTTCATGAGAGTTTGTTCTTTGGCAGAGAAGATGGCTAATCCAAACATGGTTCTCTTGGGAATTGTTTGCACACTTGTTTTCTGTACAAATATTCTTTTTGATAATTTCTGAAAAAGGCTACATCCAATATCAACTCTACGTTTCAGGAGAGTCCACGAATAGGACATCTAAATGAGCCCATTTTTCTTCTTTGTACCTATTATTGCTGCCATTTTCTTGTTCCCTCTACTGATTTAAAAGTATCCTAGCAGAGGATAATATTTGCAGAAATTACTCTTCTTCTTTATTGCTCAACAAAATTCCCTTCATTGAAAAAGGGCGATGGACTTGGAACATCAAGAAGAAGAATGTGCATCTGGCAGGGACTCCTACACAAGAATTAGGTTTGACTCAGAAATTTGATCTTGCTTAAGAATTGACACCAACTCGATGGCATATAATCAATCAACAAATACTTTACAATGTCAGCCTTTGATCTGATAAAGAGCCCGAAGTGTGTTATTATATTGAATTTTTGCCTGTGGATCTGGTGTATCTGCATAGGACTAAAACATTTAAGAATCTGAATTTTATTAGAATGAGGCTTATCAACTAAAGTAAAGCTAATGGAGTTCAAGAGTACTTAACATTATGATCAACAGTAATCTGGTTCTTTTCCTGCTATTGTAAAAGAAAAATGTGTTCTGACTTGCTCTAAGTACACGCTCTGATGTTCTCCGATTAGATGGCTAGGAACCATGGGATTTTTCAAATTTCTGCTTCATATGTTGTAGGGCTCCAGAAGCTAAAATACTCCCTTAGAGTCCCCTTCCGCCTCCTTTTGCTGAAGATTCAATATTTGGAGAAGAACATTTCTGGACCATATTTATATACATAGAAAATATATATATCAACCTTGTACAGTGGTGGGATTCAAATAATTTAACAACTGGTTTGCCCAGGGTTATATTGGCTGTTGTGGGAGGCATGGCCCATCCCAGTCTTCCAACTCCCCATCTTCCTGTACATGCAGGATGAGCCTCCCACGATGGCCAACCTGACCCTGAACGAACCAGTTTTAAAATTATATATATATAAAAACCCAGCTATCAAAGAGGGAAATCGGCCTTCTCCTTCCCTTGCCCCAGCTGCTCCATTGCCCATTTTTCCACTGTAGCACAACGCATGCCCAGGATCCACTTTGATTGGGGGGGGGTGTAATTTAACAACCGGTTCACTTGAATCAGTGCAAATCCCACCACTGGCCTTGTAGCTGCTTTGTTGCATTTCAATCCTTACGGAACAGAAGGGAGAATGATATTCTGTTGTCATTTTTGCTGTATGTCTGAGCTCTGAAAAGGCCAGTAGATTTGCCTTGTGTTTAGTGTGTTTTGCATATTGCTATAAACCTTTTGGCATTATTCCACAACAAAAATAATTACTCTGAAATATCAAATAGTATGGACCAAATGATTTTCAACAAGTTTAGTGTGCTCAGAAATTGGTAACATTATTTTCAGTAGCAGCTTTGCCAATAATGCTTCCCAAAAATTCTCCAGAGTTTGCCCTTGCCAAAACATTTTGGCATGTATTAGTATATGATCTGTTTTTTAATTTTCCCAAATTGGTCAAACCTGCAGTGGAAACAGCTCAAGAAAATTAATGTGTACAACATACACCTGAGTTTTGGAGAAGAATACGCATTATTTCTGCAAAATACATCAAAGTCTTTAAAGAGTGAAAGTATAGCTTTATTTGCATAGCTTTATTCACACCACTCTTAAAAATCCAAAATGCAGCAATACACGTTTTAAAATCATTCATTCAAATGCAGTCTTGCCCAGCATACTATAATCTCTATCCCCATTCTAGATAATTGCCAAGATTCCAGAATTTAATTGGGACTCTTGGCCCCATCTAATTTTTCCCCTTCTCTAAAATGGAAATCTTGGCTCAAAACTAGCTACTACTTCAAAGACAAAGCATGGTGGGAAATAAGTGGCAGTTAGACCCAGCCAATCAGAGCTATTCAAACAATATGATTCCAAACAACTTCCACCAGCAGGTATATCAGATTCTGGACTAAACTTAAATAACCTTCTTAGATTTTAACAGCTAATGAAGGTTTGCTTGTTTTAAAGGAGACAGATGTTCATTCTTCCATAAGAACATCCTAAAATCCACAGATTGTTTTAATAGGAAAGAACTTAATGATTTGAAAATAAAATACAAGGGTAAAAGCAGAGTTTTATCCATCCATGCAGAAAACCATTAGCATTTCAGATTTTAAATCCTATATCTTCAACCATGTTAATAGCTCTGAATAGGAGCTGTCACCTATTTTTCTTGATAGAGTTCTCCTCTTTAAAACTTTGAGGACAATTGGTAAGTATGATACGTTGATTTTCATGCTTGAAACTTAGCCGGTGAGTTATTGAGATAAATTTGCCGGGTTCTTCATAAATAAAAGGTTAAGATTTGAAAAAGAGTTTAAACTAGGAAGAACAGAAAACTGCCAGATCCCTTTCTAAATATATTTGTTTAGGGTGTTATTGTTGTTTTTTTTTTGACAAGGTATCATTTACGTTCAGTCTAAATCAAATAGTTAATCCAACCTGACAGCCATCCTAAACAGCTACATCACTTCTAAGTGTTCTGTTATTAAAGTACTAGTCTTGCCAAGAAAGGGATGAAAATTATTGCCCATCTCTCTGTTTCCTCCTTCAATGATGGGGAAAAAAAACCTTTCCCAATAAAAGTAACACAGATGCTATAAGACCTGGGAAATGTGCTGAACTTATTATAATGAAATTGGCAAACCTGAGGGAGAATTGATTCTTCACATACTTTTCAGCAACCATAAATTAACCTGAATTCTCAGAGCATGGAAATTCTCTTTGTTTTCTGTTGTTGTTTTTTTAAAAAAAATGTCCTCCTAGAATGATTGCCTAAACGTATCATAATTCACTTGCTATACCGCCTTGTCCTTTGTTTTTATTACTTTCCCTCGGCAGATGTTGCTGTTTCCAATTAGGACTATAGCCCCTGCCCTTGATTGTTAATAACTATTTTGCCTTAAGACATATCTCATTTGCTAACTGGAAAAGGCAGGCTAATGGTGCCTACATATTGTTTGGAGTGCATTGGTGAAGCCAACTCCCAGGGCCTGTAATCTCTGGAATGCTTGACTCCTTCTTAGGTCAGTAATTGAGTGTGTTGGAATTTGCCAGAGCAGCAGGTCCAAGCCTGACTTCGGGTCTCTTTGAGGTGTAGACCCTAAGGGTCAGCAAAATAATTGCTTTTGGGGGGGACAGAAAAAGAAGGAAGGCTGCAATTTTCCATCGGCATCTGAGACTTATGGTGCTGTGAACCTCTTGAAAGACAAACCTTGTCACATATGGCTTTTGTGTGTGTATGTGTGTGTGTGTGTGTGTGTGGGTGGGTGGGTGAAGGTGTGCATGTGGTGTTTCTTCACAGCATTACCACTGAACTAATGATCATTATATTAGTCTTCTCATCTCAATGTCACAAGTATGAGAGAGGCAAAAACAGATGGAAAATTTTTAAAAAAAAAATCACAGCAGATTTTTACAAAGTGCCTAAAGGTGCCACACTACTATAATTTAGTTTATTAGAATCATAGTTGGAAGGTGGCTTTTAGATGAATCTAATCCGATTCTTCTCTCAGTGCAGGGATCCAAATTAAAACATCCCTGACAGACATCTGGTCATTGCTTTAATGCATTTCGAAAAGGGAGACCATCTGGGTAATTGATTTCACGACTGAACTGCTCTTACTTGTATAGCATTTTTTCCATAGCATTTGGCCAAAATATGCCTTCCTGTAACTGTAGTTGCACTTCAAATCTTATTTTGCTAGACATCTTTCCAGGTGTTTAAACAGAACTATCGTATTGCCATTGAATATTTTCTTCTCAAGTCTAAGAACTTTCAAGCATTAAGTTTCTTCAAGCACTAAGTTTCATCATTGTTACCCCTTTTCTGAATGTGTTCTAATTTTTTTTAGTAATCCTTCTTAAAATGTGGAGCCAGGACTGGATGCAATACTCAAAAAGAATCTGATTATCCCAGAATAAAGCAGAAGTACCATACTTCTTTCCATTATTGGAAAACTATGTTTCTATTAAAGTAGTTTAAAATTGTATTTGTTTGTTTGTTTTTATTTGCAGGTACATTCACTGCTGACTTACATTCAGTTTGCAATTTATTCCTTTTCCAAGGCGTGTTTTATTATTTGGAAACCAGTATCCTACACTGTATACAGTAACTGTGTATTTTATGGTTTTCTACATGAAATACTTTGTATTTATCTCTGCTAAATTTCATTTTCAGCTCCTTTCTGAAGACTAATTGAGCTGGAGCATAACTGGAGACTAGTTATGCCTTCTACCCATATTCATTGTAACAAACAGCTGGCAAGATGGTGATGGGGAATAGAAAAAAAAGGTTGAACCATTCAATTCCTCTTGTAAAGAAACTGTGACCCAACATGTCAACAGCCGCATTGGGAGGAGGGGTACAGAAAAAAAATACAGGTCAAAAGATATAAGGAATTGCTGCTTTGAATGAATTGAGATCTTCGGGACCAGAGGAATTACAGTTCAGGGTGCTAAAGGAACTGGTGGATGTATTCTCAGAAACACTAATTGTAATATTTGAGAATTCCTGAAGTACAAGAGAAGTGCGGGAAGATTGAAGAAGTGCTAACATTGTTTCACTCCTCCCCTCAATTTATGGGAATTGGGGACCTGTTCGCCTGAGTCCCTCACACATACCTTCTTCTAGCTTTGGACTTAAAACATATTTTTTCTTTGTAGTTTTGATAACAGATGTCTTCTGTCTCTCTCAAGGTAATCTCCCTTATTCTGTAAAAATTTTTTGACAAAATTATCAGATTAGCAGACCAAAGGAATGCAATTGATGTATTAGACTTAAATTCCAATATAGGAAGGTATTTGATAAAAACTGACCATAGTCTCCTTGATAAAATGGAATAATTTGGAATGGATAAATGTATTGTTAGTAAACAATAATACTCAACACATGGACTTTAATGGATCAATGGATACATAGAATAAGTTATGCAGTGGGGTGCCTTAGGATTTAGTCCCGGGCCAACTGCTCCTCAACATTTTCATAAAATGGTGGCCCAATCCATCACTGAAAGAAAATGAAGGAAATCTTCTCAGGCTTGAATAAGACTGTTTATTGAGGTTTACATCATATCAATAAGAGTGGCAAATCTGAATTATTTTCCTCTCCTTATTGTGTCTGCAGATTGCTGTTTGGCAGCTCTATTTAAGGTAACCTTTTCTGCAGTGGTGAAATCCAAATATTTTTACTACCGGTTCTGTGGGCGTGGCTTGGTAGGCGTGGTGTGGTGTGGCTTGTTGGGCGTGGCTTGTTGGGCATGGCAGGGGAAGGATACTGCAAAATCTCCATTCCCACCCCACTCCTGGGGGAAGGATATTGCAAATTCTCCATTCCCACCCCACTCTGGGACCAGCCAGAGGTGGTATTCGCCAGTTCTTTGAACTGCTCAAAATTTCCGCTACCAGTTCTCCAGAACCTGTCAGAACCTGCTGGATTTCACCCCTGCTTTTCTGGGTATAACTGGATTGGAAGATCACCAGTAAGGCTGTGGTGAGAATAAAGGCATCCACAATTTGTGGCTGTGTTGCTTTTGCAGTTGCTGTTCCTTAGGCAATGTCATGTGACAGGATCCAGGAAACATGCCTTCTCAGTTACGATCCCCATTCTTTGGAATTGTATCCCTACATGACTCCGGCCCTGCCTGCCTTTTAAAAGGGATGGTTCTTCCAATTTAAAGAAAAGGAGGACACAGAATATTACATGATTTGGCATAAATGGTACAAGTGGTTGGAGGAAAGGAAAAATGAGGAAGAAAAATAGGGGGAAATGATAGAAACATTTTGCATGAATCTATTGCTGCGTATTGCTGATAATACACCACCCTGAGTACGTAAGTACTATGGGAGGGGCTATTTAATAAAAAAAAAGCAGCTCAATAGTGAAAATGTAAGATTTTGCATTTAACTAGGAAAAACCAGATGCATCGGTGATAGGTAAAATAGGTGATACCTGGCTGAGCAGTAGTATTTGTACTTGTGAGGAGGGGCCAGATGTCCGGATAGATCATAAATCAAGCATGAGCCAACAGTGTGCTGCAGTTGCCAAAACACCAGGGGTGAAATGCTACTGGTTCACACCGATTTGGGTGAACCAGTAGTGATAAAAACTACCGGTTCGGACGAACCGATAGTAAAAAAAAGCTACCGGTTGCTCCGAACTGGTATTTCCGATGATCAGCTGTGCCGCGCAATTGCAAACAGCTAGAAATTCTGCTTTCTAGTTAATCTAAATCGTGCGGCACAGCTGTTTCCTCCCCTCGCTGTTCTACTTATCTTCCCAAGCCTCTTTTTTCCATGCAAAGCATGCTTTTGGCATGTACCGCACATGCGAGCGTGTGCAGCATGCGTTTGGTGTGCACTGTGCATGCGCACAAACCACACATTTGGCACGCACCACACATGCGCAGCCAGCGAACTGGTGGCAAACTGGTTCAGATTTCACCACTGCAAAACACCCAATGAAATTTTGCAATTATAGTGTTGGTGTCCCAGGAAGTGATAATCCCACTCCATGACACATGGATGAGATGTGAAATACCGTGTCTAGTAAAAAGGATGCTGAGGAATAGGACAGATTACAGAGAAAACCAATAAAAACATTGAAGAAAATGGAGGTTAATCCTATGAGGAACAGTCAAAGGAATGAGGTATATTTAACTTAAAGAAAGACAGACTACAGAGAGACTTGGTAGCTACCATGGCAAGAAGAATATGGATTTATTCTATGTAAGGCCCAAGAATAGGACAGGTGCTAATATGTAGAAGCTTTATAGAGAGGTAACCCATTTCAAAATAAGGAGAAATTTCCTGACAGCTATCAAGCAGGAGAACTGCCTGTCTCCTGGAGACATGGGTGTTTTATCACTAGAGGAATTAAAGCTATTTGGGGATTTTCTATAATGAGTAGCACAGAAATATTGTTAATAAATTAATAAATAAGGCTAGGTTGGGTATTGGTAGACTTTCTCTTCTCCTCTGCCCGCTGACAGTTTTATTCCTTATGCACCTCAATAAAATAAAACATCAGGGCTGTTTAGTCATACATACACATGTAAAGAGATCAGAAGCTGATTTAGAGCCCTGACCCCTACAAAAATAGGTGACATAGTGATGTCACTGTACTTTATTGTCTTCATTCTACTGTGCAGATGAGTGTTTCATCTTACTTTATTGCAAAGGTTTATCTTACAGGATTCAAACAGAATAGAAAATCAGCATAGCTTTCTCTGTTCTGGGCTATTAAATATATTCGTCATCAGGAGAAAAATAGCAGCAGTTAGCGAATAAAGAAAAGCAAAGACCAATGGGTCAATCCGTATTAAATCTGGCATGTATATCTGTCCTTCATACCTTTCCATTCTCATGATTGCAACACAGCTGAAGAATACATAATAAATGTATCACCGTCTCCATATCTATCTGGTCTTCACTGCTTCACTTCACAACACCACCATATGGAATTATTTAAGTAAACCAAAGAGGCCAACTTTCTAAACCTTTGTTTCTAGAGAGATGTCACTTTATTTTACTTTCACAGCCAAGACCAAAACAGCAACAGGCTTCCATGCCTTCCAGCAATTATATATGTTCTGCTCAGAAAAAGACTTTTGACTGCTCCATGTAAGGAGTACAGGAAGGGGAGCGTTTTCATATAACTCTGGATCCAATCCTTCACACATCATGCAGCCTAGCCAAAATTGCTGTTCAAGTTCATCTTCTTCCCTTTTTTAGATCCTAAAAAAGCATCCTTGGCAGAGTTTATCTAGCTTTTTACTTAAATGAGAATCAGGCTTAGATTACTACTAATAAATTCTATCATATTGACCCTTTGAAGTCAGTGGTCTGGGTTTCATTCAACTGGCCTTTAGGTGAGACTTCAATATTTTTGTTATTCCAAGATGACATGGATTTGATTATATTCTTTTTTGGGCTCTTTTGTTCAGAATTGGTTTTCATTAATGCTAAATTGACAGTTTTTTAACATCAGACTGTAAGTCTGGCTAAGACATTTCACAGGAAAGAGTAAGATGAGGCCCCTTCTCCTATGTACAGAGATTTCCAAATTCAACACTGGCAAATATGTTTTCTAGTTCTTTAGAATGAGGCATAATTATCCTTTATCTCCTCCCAGATTTTGCCTGATAATTTTGGACAGTCCTACAGATAGAATATTGCTTTGAAGATACAAACAGAGAAAAACACAGTTTATCAAGATGGTCCCTTACTTTCTGTCTTTCTCATTTGCTTTTTACGGAATTAGTAGTATAATTAAACTTAGACTTTTCATAACTGAAAACCAGTATTTTTTTCAGATCCATCACATAAATTAACAGAATAACAGAGTTGGAAGGGATTTTAGATGTCTTCTAGTCCAACCCTCTGCTCAAGCAGGAAACCCTATACCATTTCAGATAAATAGTTGTCTCTTCTTAAAAAGCTCCAGTGTTGTTAGAGCACCCACAATTTCTGAAGGCAAATTGTTCCACTGATTAATTGTCCTAAGAGTCAGGAAATTTCTCCTTAGTTCTAGGTTGGTTCTCTCCTTGATTAGTTTCCATCCATTGCATCTTGTCTTGCCTTCAGGTGCTTTGGAGAATAGGTTGATCTCCTCTTCTTTGTGGCAGCTCCTTAGGTATTGGAATATGTCTCCCTTAGTCCTTCTTTGCATTAAACTAGACATACCAAATTCCTGCAACTATTCGTCATATGTTTAGCTTCCAGTCCACCAATCATCTTTGTTGCTCTTCTCCACACTCTTTCTAGAGCAGTGATGCTAACCTTTTCCGGACCAAGTGCCCAAAGCACAAACCCCCAAAATGCAGTGTGCATGCAGCTCCCTGCATGTGCCCTGCCCCCTGCACATGTGCACGAGCCCCCTTGCATGCGCCCTGGCCCTCCGCATGTGTGTGTGCCCTTTCCCACATGTGGCCCGCACCCCGCGCATGTGCAGCAGAGACCCAAAGACAAGCTGGCCGGTGGGAGGCATGCACGCATATGCAACAGAACTGAACTGGGGTGATGCCTCGCGTACCATCAGAGAGGGCGCTGCATGCCACCTCTGGCACGCGTGCCATAGGTTCGCCAACACGGTTATAGAGTCTCAATATCTTTTTTATGTTGCAGAGACCAAAACTGGATGCAATATTCCAAATGTGATTTTACCAAGGCATTATAAAGTGGTATTAACACTTCACGTGATCTTGATTCTATCCCTCTGCTAATGCAGCCTAGGATTGCATTGGCTTTTTTGGCAGCTGCAGCACACTGCTGGCTCATATTAAAATAATGTCCACTAGGACTCCAACATCCTTCTTGCAGTTACTACCATTGAGCCAGATACTTGTGTGACACAACACACTTTGCTGAGCCAAATTACATTAATGTTTCATTTCAGTGAAGCGAATCAGCTGTTTCTAGGGTGCAAAGTGTCTTGTTCAAGAAAAAGATGGTGACCTCAGCCAAGTTTGCAGTAAAAGAACACTTTAAGAGAAACTGTGCAATCTGTCAATAGTGGACTATGAATCTTCTTTTATGATAGCCTCGCATTTTTAAAAAGCTTCATTGCTGCCAATGGAAGTGTAGGTGTGTGTTTTAATTTCTACAAATCCCTGTTTATCTTTGCTTCTTCAGCAAAAGGGACATGGCTTCTGTTCTTCCACAGTAGATAATCCATGTAGATTGGACCTCCGTGCACTGTAGCTAATGTGAAATTTGATAATACTTATAAAATAACTTAGCTCATAGAGAACATTCCTCTAAGCAGCAAGTGTCCAAGCAGACTATAATATTAATTTAACTTTAAAATTACACATTAACCATTTAAAGCCTGCCTAAATAATCTTTAAAACCTACCAAAAATTTCCTATTGAAAAGTAATTCAAAGAAACATTTCAAAACTTAGGGGAAAACATACCTTTATGCAATTTGAGGAGATCTGAAACAATCTTTGCATTCCCATCATTCATTTCCACACTGCTTTGAATTTCATGATTTTGATAATCCCTGCGTATATCAAGAAAGATATGTGAAGTCCTTAATTCAATAGATCTCCTTTGATGAAGAAAGGACATTATTGCCAGATACTATGGCAAGAAAGAACAAAATAGGCCAGTGGTGGTTTCTAGGACTGTGGGTGATTTTACTTCATTTCTTGGGGAAGATTATTTCTATGAAGGATTCCTCAAAATGTTTTTTTTTTTTTTTTTGCTGCCAAGTGCAAGGCTGCATTATTGGAACATACACTTGATTACTTCAGAGTACAACTTGAAGTGTCCAAGTTATTTCGGGGTTGCTAAAACAGTGACAAAGATATAAAGGAAATCCATGTGTTTATCGTTGGGAAGGAAACTAGTACCATATGTTCCCCACATACACCTCATTTTTTGTGTCTGGCTTTCTGGTCAGGCAGCATCACATTGGGATGTCATGGAATAGAGGGTAAAATCAACAATCTGCTTTTGCTTAAAATCTCTTTCAAAGACCACATTGTGATGACCTGTTCAAAAGCCATCAAAGTTCATTCTGAGTGGCTAATTGCAAAGCTCAGGCATGGAAGACTTTTTTTATTTTAAATGCAGTTTTTTCTTAAGGTTAGACCTGAAGTGCATGCATAGCAATTTTTGGTTCTTTCAGAATATTAGAAGTAGCTGTCTATCTCTGGGTGACAATAACAAGTCTTCTTATAAAAGAAAATTTCTAAGAATACCCTCCAATTTTCAAAATTACAATCTGTTAAAATGTCTACGTTTGGTGAGAGGGTAAATACTTTTTTTTTCTGCAGTTGAATTTTGTTTTAGTTTACAGCAGAAGCTAAGATCTTCTTATCCTTTAAATTTGAAAATCACGTGAAGTAATAGTATTGTTTTACAAAGCCTTAGTGAGACCACACTTGGAATACTGCATCCAGTTTTGGTCACCACAATATAAAAAGATGTTGAGACTCTGGAAAGAGTGCAGAGAAGGGCAACAAGGATGATTCAGGGGCTGGAGGCTGAAAAATATGAAGAACGGTTGCAGGAATTAGGTATATCTAGTCTAGTGAAAAGAAGGACTAGGGGTGACATGAGAGCAATGTTCCAATATTTGAGGGGCTGCCACAAAGATGTGGAGGGTCAACCTACTGGTATTTTTCAAAGCACTAGAAGGCAAGACAAGAAACGATGGATGGAAACTAATCAAGCACAGAAGCAATCTAGAACTAAGGAGAAATTTCTTAATGGTGAAAACAATCAACCCGTGGAATGGCTTGCCTTCAGAAGTTGTGGGTGCCGCATTGCGGGAAGTTTTTAAGAAAAGACTGGACAGCCTTTTATCTGAAATGGTATAGGGTCTCCTGCTTGAGCAGGAGATTGGACTAGAAGACCTACAAGATCCCTTCCAACTGTATTATTTTATGTTCTACAGTATGTTCTAAACACAGATTATGGGGCTCTGCAGGCAGGGAACAAGGAAGAGGAATGACTTGTATCAGATGTTAAGATGCAAATACCCAATGGTGGCATTTTTGTGGTGGGGCAATCTTACGAGTTGTTATTTTGGCATTATCCCAGTTTCCTACAAATAAAGCTATATTTTAAACCGACTGTATGTGAAAGGTAGGTGTTCATTCTTCAAAGTAAGGGTGCACCATTTTTCTTGGTGTGCTGCAATTCCATAGTCCAGAAGTAGTCACGAAGAGAGTGAACTACATTATAGTAAATATAAAGGTGAATAGAATTGTATTAAATTAATTAAGTAGTGTAAGAGTTCTTAATGTATTAAATAATGTTTCTCTCTTTAAGAGACACTTTGGAGTTCAAGGCTTCCAAGGCTTGTATGTGATTTGTGATTTTATTTTGTTTGCCTATGCTATTATTATTGTTAATCACATAGTCAACAAGACGTGTAGACAGGATTTAATCCGTTTATTGAGTCCACCCTGAGGACCTGGGATAGGCAGATATCATTGTTTGATGGTGTTAATGATATTGTTACGAATTATTATTTTTATATAATAACTATACTTTAAAGCAAATACATGTGCAAGAATCAAGTCAATTTATATCCAGACTCAGAAGTCCTATGTTAATGGCAATTACCTCCGATATAAATATGCTCACCTACTTTCAGTCTAAGCATGATCTATTCTAGCAGTCCATCACATCCTTTTTCTGGATAGGTTGTAGAAGATGGTGGTGTAGAACATGGAAATTCAAGAAGTCATAACACCTGGGGATGACAAAATTGAAGAAGATTGGTTTATTCATTTCATCACATTCAATTTGTCTCATGCTGAATTTAGAGCTGAAATTCTACCATATAATCCAGTCTAAGAAAAATACGTTGAAACTTGTTGGAATTACCTAATATAGTGATGTCCAGGGTGCATTATTTTAAAGTAATTTTTGCTATTTTTTTTAAGCAATGTAGAATTACATTCAAAGAAGGCATTCATCAGTTACACTGGAGCAGCTTCCTTATCCCAACTGGTTTATATAAATCAGAAGAACAAAGATCAACATATCCATGGCAGATTTCACCCTGTTGAAATCCCAGTGAGTACAGATAAAAATATATCCCTCAATTGGATAAAATAAGGCCAGAGTTACAGATATATGATATGAATTACAGTAGTTATTGCATCCAAGTTGTTCTGCAAAACCCCACAGAAACATGAGTCTAAATCTAAGCATGGAACTTCATTCCCATCATAATTAAAGCATAGGAGAATATTTGAAAGGCTGTTTCATGTAGAAAAATACCTTTCAGGAAGAAAATCTGAATTAGATTAAATAATATATGTGGGAAAGAGTGGTTTTTCGACCTTTTTTTTCCCATACATGGTCCCAAATAAGGAATTAGACTTCAGTTGAACAATAAATACTGAGATCTGTTCAATAATGGAGCAGATTGGTCAAGAGATGATGGTACAAATGGAGGTTAATGGCAGTGGTGAAATGTAAAATTTGTTACTACTGGTTCTGTGGGCGTGGCTTGGTGAGGGGGTTATGTGACTGGGTGGGCGTGGCCAACTTTTTTTTTTTTTTACTTTTAAAAACATTTTTTCTACAACCTCTTCGGCCGAAGAAGTTGTAGAAAAAATGCTTTTAAAAGACTCTGACGATCCCAGCTGAGCTGCGCGGTCATCAGAGGCTTTTTTTTAACCTTTAAAAGCATTTTTTCAGCCGAAGAAAAAATGCTTTTAAAAGTTAAAAAAAAAAAAAGCTTCTGATGATCGCACAGCTCAGCTGGGCATGAGCCAGGGATTTTTGCTACCAGTTCTCCGAACCACCCACCACCATCGCTACCAGATCGGGCGATCCAGTCCGAACCGGGAGCATTTCACCCCTGGTTAATGGCCAACTTTTGAAGAATCTGTAGTAGTGGATTCCTGCATTAAAGTTAGAGAGTATAATTTCCAGGATCCCTTCTAAGATTTCCACTCTATGATTCTATGTTGCAGAGAAAAAAATCTATCTCAAATTCACATTGACATTTTGAGATGATTTATTCTGGGAGGAAAATGAAGGGAAGGATTTCATGAATGCTCTTTTTTTTCTTTCTTTCTTCTGTTTGTTCATCGCTGATTCTTGGACACTGCCTGGAGAAGGCCCTGCGGTTGTTTTGACAAGGTTTTTCAGAAGTGGTTTGCTTTGTCCAGTGGTGAAATGTAAAATTTGTTACTACTGGTTCTGGGGGGGGGGGGGGGTAATATGATTGAGTGGACGTGGCCAACTTTTTTTTTTTTTACTTTTAAAACCATTTTTTCTACAACCTCTTCGGCTGAAGAGGTTGTTTAAAAAATGCCTTTAAAGCCTCTGACGATCCCAGCTGACTTGCCTGATCGGCAGAGGCTTTTTTTCCTTTTAAAAACATTTTTTCTATAACCTCTTCGGCCAAAGAAGTTATAGAAAAAAATGCTTTTAAAAGCCTCTGATGATCCCAGCTGAGCCGCACGATCATCAGAGGCTTTTTTTTTTTTAAAGCATTTTTTTCGGCCAAAGAGGTTGTAGAAAAAATGCTTTTAAAAATAATTTAAAAAGCCTCTGATGATTGCGCGGCTCAGCTGGGCAATGGTGGGGGGGCAGGGATTTTTGCTACTGGTTCTCTGAACCACCCGCCTCCATCGCTACCGGATCAGGCAATCCGGTCCAAACCGGGAGCATTTCACCCCTGCTATTGTCTCATTTCTAGGGCTGAGAGAAAGTGACTGGCCCAAGATCACTTAGTTGACTTTGAGCCTATTTTTATTTTATTTTATTAGTCATATTTCTATGCCACCCACTCTCCGAGGACTCTGGGTGGCTTACACCAAAGACAGTATACTAAATAGCATATTTCCCCCTAACAATCTGGGTCCTCATTTTACCCACCTTGGAAGGATGGAAGGCTGAGTCAACCTTGAGCCAGAGAGATTTGATCCGCTGATCTGCTGAACTAACAGTCAGCTGAAGTAGCTGCAGTACTGCACTCTAACCACTGCGCCACCTCAGCTCTTGCTAAAATTGGCTAACATCTACACCAAACTACACCAAAATAAAGTCTCTCCCCTAATGTTTTTTTCCCATAAGATCTGGTTGGATTTATTACATAGACAGACAATGTGTAGTTCCATCCTGAATGTCAACGTTTGTTTTTCACCATCTCTTTACCTCTCAAAAGTCTCATCTTCAGAGTGAAATCAGTGTGGAAGCAGCTCAGATTATGGGACAGTAACGCAACAATGAATACAGGATCTCCTGTCTCAGATTTTTTCTTTGGGCTGGAAAATGAGAGATGCCTGTTGCCCAGTTCAATCAAAGATTATTATTTTTCATTAAAGTTGAGAACCTTGGAAAAGCCCTTGGAAAAACCTAACCGGTTTGTTTTAAAAAAGAAAAACAAATAAATCCTGCAGCAGCCCAGAGGGAGGATCAAGTTACCTACTGTTACTTTAAAATATGTCCAGTGCTATGTCAAAGCAGCAGTGGGCATATTTAAAAGTGACAAGTCAGCCCTAAAAACCAACATTGTTCTTATTCAGTTTCCTAGCGCCCCCCCCCCACTTCTCGCTCTTCTAAAGAGAAGAATCTCATCTTAGCCCCCCAATTAGCAAGCTGGAGTATTTATAATGCCAGCAAGGACCTTCTCCTCCCTCTCCTACTCATTAGCTCACTCCGGCTCTTTTTACCAGGAGGATTTTCTAAAGAGTCTTGTTAAGAACATTAATAATAGTAATTAGAGGGTCAAGAAACCATCCTGAAACCTGACCCAAAATCTTCACCAGTGCCTAAAAGCCTAAGACGAGTGATTTTTCCCTCTCCTGTTTTCTTTGGCCACTGGAAGTGAGTGTCTGTTTCTTTTAAACAACAGCAGACTTGTTCCATCCTTGTATATCAAAGCCTTTCAGCATTGTTTTTGAAGGATGCCTTTAAAAAGCTGATCTTTCTCAAAAAGTGATCACCACACAATCAGGCAACCCGCAAGGAACACTTTTAAATTAGCAAATCTGGCGCTTTGGCAGGAGATTCAGCCCAAGCCTGAAACATCTGCATCACAAAACAAATCAGCAAGTTGGAGCACCAAGGCATGACTCATCGTACCCTCTGTTTTGTTTATTTCTGGTTTTTCCCTCACGAAACAGAGCTCCAAGCTTAACCAACTTCGAGCAGCTCAGACTACCTTTGGGATTCCTCTTTCTCTCACACAATCCAGTTTTTCACACTTAACAAACTCATTTAACAGCCACCTTGATTAGAAATTCTGGTCTTTATTGTGGTCATAAATTAAGGAACACAGGATGCTCCTTGTTGAAAGTTGCATCAGTAGGAAGAGCCTCTTGTCACCAAAAGGAGCGTTTGTGTAATGTTACAGATAAACCTGCATGTAAAATGGATTCTTAACATCAAAAACATCATCAAAAAAGCACAAAAAAGAATGTTCTTTCTGCGCCAACTCAGGAAGCTCAAGCTGCCCAAGGAACTGCTGATACAGTTCTACAGAGGAACTATTGAGTCTGTCATCTGCACCTCTATAACTGTCTGGTTTGGTTCTGCAACTCAATGAGACAGACACAGACTTCAGAGGATAATTAGAACTGCAGAAAAAACAATTGCTACCAACCTGCCTTCCATTGAGGACCTGTATACTGCATGAGTCAAAAAGAGGGCTGTGAAAATATTTACAGACCCCTCGCATCCTGGACATAAATTGTTTCAACTCTTACCCTCAAAACAATGCTATAGACCACTGCACACCAGAACAACTAGACACAAAACAGTTTTTTCCCAAACACCATTACTCTGCTAAACAAATAATTCCCTCAACACTGTCAAAGTATTTACTAAGTCTGCACTACTATTAATCTTCTCATGGTTCCTATCACCCATCTCCTCCCGCTTATGACTGTATGACTGCAACCTTGTTGCTGGTATTCTTAAGATTTATATTGACTGTTTCCTAATATGATTTGATTGCTTATTTGTTCCCTATGACTAACATTAAGTATTGTACCTTATGATTCTTGATGAATGTATCTTTTCTTTTATGTACACTGAGAGCGTATGCACCAAGACAAATTCCTTGTGTGTCCTATCACTCTTGGCCAATAAAGAATTCTATTCTATTCTATTCTATTAATCTTCTCATGGTTCCTATCACCCATCTCCTCCCACTTATGACTGTATGACTGCAACCTTATTGCTTGTATCCTTACAATTTATATTGACTGTTTCCTAATATGATTTGATTGCTTATTTGTACTCTATGACGATCATTAAGTAATGTACCTTATGATTCTTGACGAATGTATCTTTTCTTTTTACGTACACCGAGAGCATATGCACCAAAGACAAATTCCTTGTATGTCCAATCACACTTGGCCAATAAAGAATTCTATTATCTATTATGTTGTTTCTGTTGTTCAACTGCCCTGTTTGATCACAAACTGAGCCTAATGGACAACTAAGTCTGCCTCTACCTTGACCTTTACTGAATATTTATGTAACTTGGCTTGATAAACCAAGTATTTTCTATATAGCTCAGCCTCTTAAGTCCTGACTAAAAAAATTCTCTTTTCCTGGGCACACAAGCACATGTTGTTATGTCTTAAGTTCACAGCTGCTTGAAAGTGTTTTATGTTGCCAGATTTGGAACATTTATTCCCTAGCACATTCAACCTACTTTTCTGTGCCATCTGTATTTTTCTTAAGGAGCTGAATTCTTCCCTTATTTGTGCTACTTTGCTGCTTTTTTGTGCCAAGGTACCACTTCATCTCTCACTTGAATGCACCAAATAAATACTGCCCAACACGCTGGCCCTGGCTATGTCCTGCTTGCTTTGCATCTGGCTCTCCCCAGCCATAAAACTATTTGTGTTCACTTGAATCTGAATCAATGCTTTAGTAAGATCGTGGCTTACACAGAGAGCTGCTCTTGCATTCAAGGGAAAGTGAGTGCAGCTTTCTTTCTGGAATTCACAAAGACGTTGTAGAGAAAAAACAGATGGGAGTCATAGAAGCAGAGGCTTGTTGTGTATGGTTTCTTTTGCCTGCCATTTTAAGTCTCCACAAGGACAGGGAACTTGACATTGTGACCAGATCTCTTTCAGTGATTTAGACCAGTCACACGGTAAAGTTAAGTCCGAGACGCTCAGATCATTGTACATTGAATAAACAAGCAAAGTATTTATGTTGCCAACTTTTTGCAAGTCTCATGAAACCTTTTGGAGCTGAATCCGATTCAATTACAAGTTTCTGAATCTAAAGCCAGTAGTTAGTTTATACAATGGCTGATAGTGAAATCAACCTGAGCTTAATGGGATTTCTGTGGTCCTCATCTCCAGCCATGAAAGACCTGAGATTTTGCCATGTAAATTAAGGTTTAAACATGAATATAAGGATTGGAATGAGAGTCGAGGATTCTGAGCAGTGGTGAAATTTAAAATTTGTTACTACTGGTTCTGTGGGCGTCGGTTGGTGGTGGGGGTGAGGGTAATGTGACTGGGTGGCTATGGCCAATTTTTTTTTAACTTTTAAAACCATTTTTTCTACAACCTCTTCGGCAAAAAAATGCTTCCAAAAGGCTCTGATGATCGAGCTGAGTTGCCTGATCAGCAGAGGCTTTTTTAAAAAGCCTCTGATGATCAGGCAACTCAGCTTGGATCGTCAGAGGCATTTAATAGAAAAAAAGGGTTTTTTTCTTTTAAAAAGCCTCTGACGATCAGGCAACTCAGCTTGGATCGTCAGAGGCATTTAATAGAAAAAAAGGGTTTTTTTCTTTTAAAAAGCCTCTGATGATCAGGCAACTCAGCTTGGATCGTCAGAGGCATTTAATAGAAAAAAAGGGGTTTTTTTCTTTTAAAAAGCCTCTGACGATCAGGCAACTCAGCTTGGATCGTCAGAGGCATTTAATAGAAAAAAAGGGTTTTTTCTTTTAAAAAGCCTCTGACGATCAGGCAACTCAGCTTGGATCGTCAGAGGCATTTAATAGAAAAAAAGGGTTTTTTTCTTTTAAAAAGCCTTTGACGATCAGGCAACTCAGCTTGGATCGTCAGAGGCTTTTAATAGAAAAAAAGAGTTTTTTTCTTTTAAAAGTGTTTGACAATACCAGCCAAGCCGCACGATCATCAGAGGCTTTTTTTTTACTTTTAAAAGCATTTTTTCAGCCAAAGAGGTTGTAGAAAAAATGCTTTTAAAAGTTAAAAAAAAGCCTCTGATGATTGTGTGGCTCAGCTGGGCATGGGGGATGGGGAGCAGGGATTTTTGCTACCAATTCTCCGAATCATCTGCCTACATCGCTACCAGATCGGGCGATCCGGTCCAAACCGGGAGCATTTCACCCCGATGCAATCCCCCCTTCCAATTTCCCACAGCACCAAGTGTGAGAGCCCTGAAGATCCAAATAAAAAGCCCCTCCAGGACTGAGACGAAGAAGCTCAGTCTACAGACAGAAAGTCTAGGCGTAAGCTTATAATGTAACAAACTTTACCCAGAGGCAGTTTCTGGAAACACTTAAAGCTGCAGGGCAATTAAGATAAGGATTAGGTTAGAAATACAGGCATAGGACAATGTTTCCTTCCTGCCTCCCTTGCAAGATTAGCCCTGTAAAGTAGGAAAAGACCGGTTCTCCAAACTGCTCAGAAAATTAACATCCGGTTCGAGTGAACCGGTGTGAATCGGTAGCAGCCCACCTCTAATGCTAAGGTTAAGCACCATATGACAGGGTGAGTTCCCGTCCTGCCTCAGCTCCTTTACCAGTGGAAGGTAACAGTGTTCCCATGCCTCAGCATATAGTCATGCTGGCCCACATGACCACCGAAGTGTCTTCAGACAACCCTGGCTCCTTTGGCTAGGAAACAGAGATGAGCACTCCCTAGAGTCAGACATGACTGGACAGGGGAAACTTTCACCTTTACAGTTTTTTGTACACATTACCCACAATTTCAGGTGAAATAGACAAATGATAGCTGCTCATGATATATATGTTCACCACAATGTCAGCTAAACATGTTGTACAGATTAGATCAGGGTGAGAGAGGTATGTATTACTTACCTTTGAGTCTAGCATTTCTGAAAAATAATTTTCAGCTTTGGGAAAAACAATGGACTCTTATCAAAGGGATGGCCAATTTCAACAAAGGTTATTCAGGTGACAATACTTTAGTGTTGTTCTTTTGCATATTAAAAGAAAATTCTATCAATGCATAAATGAGAATATCTAGTATTTAAAAACCATCACATTACTGGAAATGAAGCAATTATTTCTATGACATATTATAAAATATAAATATGCAAGATGAGCTTCCACTGTTTTTGGATGTCCTCCTGACTTTGGTTCTGTTCCATTTATTCTACATTCTAATCTGATTTTATTGCTTTAGTTTTAAACTTCTGGAATTTTTAGTTCTGGAAAATCACTTATGGTGAAAAGTTTGATCCAGTAAAGGGCTTGTAAAGTCAGCAATAACTATTTCCTTTGGGCAGAAACGTCAACTCCATTTAACTGCAATGTTTTTAAAAAGCAAAAAGTTAAAGCTTCTTATTTTTATCATTTCTCAGTGTGAACAGTTGAATACACAACACACTTCCAAAAAGATTTCTTACTTGGTTTCCAGTGGCGGGATTCAGATAATTTAACAACCGGTTCTCTGCTCTAATGACCAGCTGGGTAGGCTTGGTTGTCATGTGACTGGGTGGGCATGGCCAACTCGACATCATTCATGTTGAGGGGCACCTCACCTCTCCCACCCTCTCCTCACCATGCCATACCTGGCCCACCCCGGGCCACTCCCCTCCCAGCCACTCCTTGTCATGCTCAGCTACTCGCCCTGCCACCCAGCCAGTCGAGAGGCTGGGTGAGCAAGTGGGTAGTGAGGCAAGGAATGGCTGGGAGGAGAGCAGCAAAGCATGGCAATTCAGCCGATTCGCTGAACTGCACAAAAAGTTAGCTACCGGTTCCAGCGAACCTATGCAAACCAGCCGAATCCTACCACTGGTGGTTTCTCTTAAATACCAGTAAGCCTATTTGTATAATGAATAGGATAGAAGAGACATACTGTTGTTTATAGGGGGGGGGAATCCCAAATAGTTAATTAAAACTTCCATTCTATTTTTCCTATACACAAACTAGAATATTTATGTACAATCCTGGTGTTATCACATAGTATGTAAAGTTACACAGTCTTTACATACATGGAGGTGCCATATCTGATGCTGCCCAGCTGCTATATTCTTACCAGTAGGGATCTCCTCCAATGTAAAGAATGCTTGGTATTTCTTTGTAATTGATAGTTAGTAAGAAAAATGAAACAGGTTAATTCCCAATGCTCCTCGTTTTTGCTTTAACCTTTGTAAAGAACTATAATGTTGCAAGCATTAATTGGATAAATCATTTTGCGAGATTTTTCACTATAATGTTAATTGCACAGATTTTGGAGACCTGCAGAACCAGAAGAATTCAAGGAGGAGTCAAAAAAGTCAAGATGGCCCCCCACAATCATGACATCTAAGTCTGATCCCCTTTTTACGTGGATCATAACAAATGAAATTTAGAAACTTCTGGGAATATGACTTCAAACCATGTCTCTATTCATAATAAAGCACAGATCTTTCCATAATTGGACAGCTAGCTAGCCCTTCTAGAGCTAACTGAATCTGATCAGCCACTACGCAACCTCATTGCTTAGCTCAAATAATCACCCAAAACTCAGCTCAACTTGTCTCACTGTTTTCAGAGTGCTGTAATAAACACATAAGAGACTATAGCATCCGTCCTGATGCTCTTTAGGACTGAAACAGATCACTGGACCATGATGTTAAAGGTTAAGGACTATGGATGGTACATACTTCCGAGAGTGTTAGATAAAGGGGAAAAACTGACCTCTTTTCCAATCTGTGAAGGTCATCGGTGGAAGACGAGATGAAGCCAGCATTATGTGAGCAGGTGATATAAATTATGTCTTTGATGGCTAGATATCATCAATGTTAGCTTTTTCTGGATATTTTCAACACTGTTTGGAGACAAAAATTTCAGTTTGAGTCAAGGCTTCCTACATCTCAGATGATGAAATGGAATGTAAATATATTGTTATTAGGGATAACAACATATTTGGATAGATAGGCTCACTTAAATTGAGCATTCGCAGAAAATTTAAAAATGTATACTTTGTCACAGGAAATCAATACCATATGTGGCACTACTTTATATATACATGCCTAAAATATATTTTCAGAAATGTACTGTATTGTTTTGGAGGTTTGGCGGGTGACACACTCTAGCTCAATTCTCACCTAGAAAGCTTTGTCACAGAAAGAGTGTTTAATTTACCAGATTTAAGCCTGGAAAATTTTAAGCATATATTAATAGTGAATTAAAGGGAAGTTTTGTGGGAATCCAAACTAAAAACAGTGGAGACATAGGTTATTGGAGAATCCATGTAGAATGTGGACATTGTATCTTAGATCAAATAATATGAATAAGCACCATTATTTGTGGAGTTGCAGTCTAAGTATCATTTGTCACAGTGTGCAGATTGGCAGCATTTCAGTTAAACCACTATTTTTCATCCACATATGAGCTAACCTTTCAAAATTTTAGACACCCGTAAAAAGCAATAATTTGAAAATCCCTCAAAGGTATTTGGCTTGTAGGGCTATGTCATGGATGCTGTAGGCCCCTGATGTTCTTTTAGGAACGGCTGAATATGCACAGTCTAGGTGTCATGAAAAGGTTTCTGAATTATAAAAAATTCATCCGTCAAGAATAATGAATTTTTCCAAGCTTAATCGCTTCGCTCTGTAGATGTATATTTGCACAGAACCTGGAGGGCAAAAGAGAATGCTAAGCGCACAGAGGCCACGGCAATTTTGCACATTTTGAATATGGGAAGGTTAGCAGTGCTCTAATTAAAATCTGATTAGCCAATGGACTTGATCCAGACTATTTCAGCAGTGAAAGCATTGGTATTTTCTTTTCCTTTGGCTGCCAGTTTATCAGAGGTAGGCAATTAAGAGCTCACACACCTCCAGCTTTTCCTCATTTGGAAAGCCTGAATCTCATGCCAGTCAAGCCATAGTGTCCCATTGTCCTTAGAACAATATTCCCCTCTAATCTCACTTCTAGCAATTTGCTTTTTCTTTCTGAGCAGATTTAGAAACAAAAAACCCTGAATAAGCATGGAAAGGAGGGGGCAGGGAAGAGGAGGGTATGGCAGTGGCCAGCCATGGAGTAAATACTGCTGGTCTACATCTAATCCCATCCCTAAAGTGAGAGTTTTCTCAGCCTATTCAGGGTTTTTTTTTCATTTAACAAGCAGTGGATAAATAAACGTTGACTACATCCCTGCTTTGATTTAAAGGGAACTGGGAGGATCCAATTATATTTTCAGCAGGGAGGGAGACGTTGGAGGCTGCTTGGAAAGAAATGGGCAGACATTCCCTTTCTCAAAGAAAACATAATGTCCCCCGTGTAAGTCCCCTATAATTATTGCTTCACTACAAATTGACAAGCTCAGAGGTGAGCTTTGCTTTTGTTGACTGCTTAAATGCAATTATTACCTTTCTTCCACTTTTCAGGTTCCCAAACCTGGCTGCCTGTTGCTTTTGTTCACAAAGCCCCTAGATCTAAAAGAGAGACAGTGGGAGATTTAACTGGAAATCCACTCAATAGTATTGCGTTTACGGAACACAGAGTGATGCTTAGCCAAAAGCTGTTTATGGAAGGGATACCCAAATAGGCTACCTGCAATTCACGTTCAATCAGAGAAACATTGGCTTTGATGTGCACCTCCAAAGCAGGATCCATTATTGATATCTCAGCAGTAAAGAAGTTTTGGCTTGAGATCTTTGGGGTCCTGTTTTCTGTTTTCTGATTTGATATCCAACAACCAATATGATTTTCCCCTTTAATGAGATTGTTGTTCTTGAGAGGTTCAAGATTCTTGACCTCATTCATTGTGATAAATAGATTTGCAGGTTCTTCACACAAGAATCAAGGGTAGAAATGAAGTTTAAATGGCTTGCAAGAGGCATCTGCCATAAATTTGGGTTGTTGCAATTTTTTGTTCATAGTTACATTTTTTCTCAGGTTGCTCAGAAACATTCCTTTCTCCTCCTCAGTTATCCAGCAGCTCCCCTATGGGCAATCTGTAATCAAACTGTCATCTTGTTGGAAAGGAAGGAAGGATTGCTGAACAAAGCTATGAACAAAACTATGTAGACTAGACTAGACTAGACTAGACTAGACTAGACTAGACTAGACTAGACTAGACTAGACTAGACTAGAATAGAATAGAATAGAATAGAATAGAATAGAATAGAATTCTTTATTGGCCAAGTGTAATTGGACACATAAAGAATTTGTCTTTGGTGCATATGCTCTAAGTGTACATAAAGAAAAAATAAAATATATTCATCAAGAATCATAAGATACAAAACTTAGTGATAGTCATAGGATACTAATAAGCAATCAAATCATACTAGGAAACAATAAAACAATATAAATTGTAAAGATACAAGCAACATGATTATAGCCATAAGTGGAAAGTGGGAAGAGATAGGTACTAGGAAGGATGAGAATAATAATACAGTAATACAGTCTTAGTAAATCATCATCATCATCATCATCATCATCATCATCTTGTGGGACTTTAGGATTCAGACTGACAGGCACTTGGTCCACAACACACCTGACATAACAATAGTTGAAAAGAAAAAAGTATGGTTCATTGACATTGCAATACCTGGTGATGCACGGATTGAAGATAAGCAGCAAGAAAAAATCACAAAATATGGGATTTGCAAATTGAAGTTGAACGACTGTGGGAAAAAAAATCGTGTGTTGTCCCGATTGTAATTGGAGCCCTTGGAGCAATACCCAAAGGGCTACCCCGCTATTTAGAAATTCTAAATTTGCCGGACTTGAACATTTTGACTCTACAAAAAACCACCTTACTCGGAACAGCTTACATCCTCCGACGATACCTTAACAGTTCCTAGGTCCTTGGTTAGGACTTGAGCTGCTGAGCTATTAACCAGCCTCAAAGGCTGTGAATCTCACTAAAGATTAAATAATAATAATAATAATAATAATAATAATAATAATAATAATAATAAAAAATAACAGTGTTGTGGGACTTAGTTGTTTAGCAGAGTGATGGCATTCAGGGAAAAACTGTGTCTAGTTGTTCTGATGTGCAGAGCCCTATAGCATCGTTTTGAAGGTAGAAGTTGAAACAATTTATGTCCAAGGGTCTGTAGATATTTTCACAGTCCTCTTTTTGACTTGTGCAGTATACAGGTCCTCAATGGAAGTGTTCAGTTGAAATTAAATATGTTAACAGAATCGATAAGGTTTACGTAATTCGTTATAACTTTTGAGTTACAAAATGTGAGTTGCAAAGTCCAATAAAATAATGTCTTAAAAGTATCGGTTTCCCTTTGATTCCCAAGTTCTCCTGAATGTTGCCTTTATTTGTTGTTCTCCCTGCCATGGAAGGGTTAAGAAGCAGAAGGCTTTAAGAGCTTACTGCTGAGTGGGGCGGGTGGGGAAGGGGAAGATTGATGTATTACCACTCTGAGAAACTCATTCTCCAGAGGCAGAGATTAATCAGCTCTGAGTTGAAGTGTGTATCTCCTTGGGCTGCTGTATTTCCTCAAGTGTTTTGACTGGGTATTTCTCAAGAGGAATTTTGGTATTCAGTGGGTGATACGTATTTCTCCAGAAGATTGTTTCACTTGATACTGAGCTTAACTCTTTTCACTGTCCAGGATTGAACTAAAATCCACTTAATACCAAACATGGACAGACGCTTTGGAAGAGGGAGTGAATGAAAGGGAGGGAGGAATAGCTAGTTCATCGTCTGAATAAGGCCATTTATATCCAGCAGGAGTCAGAGATGTTGCACTACTAAATATCAGCAGCATGGCTGTATCCAGAAATAATTATGTGGCTGATGGCCACATACCAGGGGTGGGTTCTAAATTTTTTTACTACCGGTTCTGTGGGCGTGGCTTATTTTGTGGGTATGGCTTGGAGGTCATGTGACTAGGTGGGCGTGGCTAGCTGGTCAGAGCCATTTCTGGAAGGTCCTCGCACTTACGACCAGTCCTTGCACTTACGACCCAACTCATTTGTTTGCTTTTAACACTGATCAGCTGTAGGACGGCCCTTTGAAGCCCCGCGGCAAGAGTTTAAACAGTTTTTTTCCCTCTAGTCATCAGCTGGGACTCAGGAGGCAGCAATAGATTGGGGGTAGGACCAAATAAAAGGTAAGAATAACATGGGGGGTGGGAGGGGGGAGGGCGGGGGGGAGAACCGGTTCGGTGATGTCATATCGTCACCGCTACCGGCTCGGCCGGACCGGACTGAACCGGGAGGAACCCACCACTGCCACATACATAACAGGACTAGGGTCACATGCTTCACCAAAACCTTTCTAATGGTAAACACCTGTTGCAAAGCCAAACTCCATGATTAGTAAGCCTCTGTGAAGAATCTGCTGTTGGACCAAACTACTTCAGGCAAAGAAGTGTTGGAACAGATTTGATGGCTTCTTTTTCCCATGGAAATAAACATAAACTCTGCCTATACAAAATTAGCACGTGTCAAATCCATTGCAATTTGACATGGAATTGTGTTAACAACATGATAAACTTGGATTCATTCAGGTCATGCTGTAGGCCACATGTGGTCCCCAATCCATGTTATTCCCCTCCCCCCCCCAAGATCTCACTATTCCAGTCATTCAAAAATCATATATAGTATATATAACACCTCAAAACTCTTTGGCCTGCTTATGTAAATACTGTACAGTTTCCTCCAGCAGTTTGATGACGATATTATCCATTCAGTTGTGTCCAACTCTTGGTGGTTCTATGGGCCAGGTCTCTCCACATCTTCCTATCTTGCATTACTTCTTTGAGTTGTTCTGTGCTCTGGCTGGTGTCAACTTTGATGGTTTCCTTTCCTACCACTAAGTCTTGCAAACATAATTGCTTTCTCCAGTTAATTCCTCCATATGACATGGCCAAAATAAATAAGATACAGTTTTGTGATTTTTCTAGCAGTTTTCCACAAATAAAAAAAACTGGTAATTCTACAGTTCTGAAGCACATGAGGCATGTAAATCTTCCTCTCTCAAGTTATATTAGTATCCAGATAGCAAGCATACAAACAAGGCAAGCTGTTAAGGTTAGATGAAATAAATCCATAACCAAAAAAGATACTGATGGACCTGTAAGTACTGCAATGCCCTTTCAAAACAGTATAATATACTGCAATTCTTCACAATATAAAGAAATAGGAAAGAAAATATGACATGCAATGCTTAATGATCATCAACATCTTCATAAGTTCTCTTTTAGAGCAAGCTTCCCTAATTTGGTGTTCCAGTTCTCAGAATTTCTAGGAAATATGGCCAATGGTAGAATAAGATTGGCCAAGAGATATATTTATTTGTATAGCTTTATTGCTTTTAACCTTATAAACTGCCCAGAGTTGCCTTGCAGCAGGATGAGTGGCAAAAAAATTCAAATAATAAATAAATAAATGTTGTTTTATTCTATTTTCATTTTATAAATTTATAATAATCGAGCAATTGCTTTGTTCTTGGAAACTTTGGAACATTCAACAAAAATCAATTACCTTATCACTCTTTCACAATCATTTGGAGTTTTCATTTCTGCCCCACTCAGCTTTTCTTTAAAAAAAAAAGTATAATAGACATAACATTTATAGTAATTCTGAGGTATTCATTACTTGGAGGCATATTCCATAGTTTTCATCATTCAGGATTTTGTTTGCTAGAAAATGTTAGGAATGTAACTTCAGTTATACCTTCCAGTTATTCTACTCCAACCACACAATGACTTCATTTTATTTCTTAACTGTTACAGGAAACAAAATCCAACATACATACCCATTGTTCAAAATGAAGTGATTGTTTTCAGTGATTTCCATAAAAGACTAAAATTTCAGCACATGTGGAAAGCACTCAGGTTAATATGGATGGTCTATCCTGAATATTTTCTCCTCATAATAAACTCATTAAGAAGATAAAACTGAATTAAAGTAGATATTGTAAGTTAGCCCAGATTCATGCAGAGACGTGGTGGATAAAGAGTTGAAGACATATAATCTTACTCCAAATCTATAAACATTATCTTTGACTTCCCCAACCTGCTATCCTTCCATAAGCTGGAATTACAACGTACGTAGAATTCTAAGAGCTGCAGTTTGTCCACCAGTGGTGGGTTGCCCCCGGTTCGCACCATTTCTATAGAACCGGTAATAAAACCAGCAGGAGCCTCCGCCCACCAACCCCAACGTCATCAGAATGCTTCTGCGCATGTGTAGAAGAGCGTGCATGTGAGCGAAGCAAGTGCACATACGCAGGCCCATTGCGAACTGGTAGTAAAGTAAGTAGAACCCACTCCTGTTGTCCACACCTGGAAATACCTAGTAAGGAAGGCTGCACTATTCTTTATTGGTCTTTTCTTCGTATGGTATTTTCCCCTTTAAATAAGTTAAACAGACTAAAGATGGATATTATATGTTTGCAAGAAGTTCATATCAGAAAACAACACAAAAAACTATTAGAACATACAAAATTGGGAGTATTATTTACTTTGTTGATAGATCAAAGCAAGAGAGGGGTAGTGTTATATATTAAAGAAAAACTAGAACCCAAGCAAATATTTGTTGATGAAGAAGGGAGGATACTTATGGTGGAGGTGACAATGAATTACAAACAAATGCTGTTGATAGCATTATACGCATCAAATGATAATCAAGAAGAATTTTATGGGAGATTACATAGAAAAATACTAGAATTTGAATATAAAAATATTTGTATAATGGGTGGTTTTAATGTGGTGATAGACGCAGATTTGGATTATAAAACAACAAAGATAAATAAGAAATCTAGGAAAACACTTCCAAAGACATTTTTCGCAATGGTTGAGGAATTAAGTATACAAGATGAGTGGAGAAAAGGACATCTGAAAGAAAAACAATATATCTTTTACTCAAATAGGCATATGTCATGGTCTAGAATTTGTGATGTTTTTGCATGTCCCTACAATGCCATGGCTTGTATGGCTTGTTGGCTGTCTTGGAAAAGCAACCCCATTAACTTCTTAAATTAATTCTCTTCTCAAATTCCTAGGTTTGTCATCTCTCTGCTCTGGGTCTTGCTCATGTGTATTTGCTTTGTAATTGTTCTTCCTTATGGACATCAAACCAGGAGGTGCAATCTGAGGACAGGGACAATGTCCCTCTTTTTGAGCTTGCTTCCATTTTTTGAATTTGCTAACCATTTGAACTGGGAACTACTGAGTAGATGGTGGTGCAAAAATGCTGAAGTGAATTTGAGGTGGGAGGGAAATGTGAATCTGCTGGGGCAAACTGTACATATAAAGCATTCTAAACTCAGCATCTCCTAAAGGAAATAGCTCAGAATATGAATAACGTCATTGCTCAAAATCTGGGGATCATAGCAGTTCCATTTACATAAAAAATATTGTTAAGATCCTTTGTTTTCCAGATAATTTAATACATGACTTCATGGACATTATTGATACAAACTACTTTTGCATGTTACTCAAATTAAAAAAAAAATGTGTAAGGAATGTGGCACTTGCAGCTTTAATTTTTAGTATTTGACCTGTTACAATAATTTATGTTTTTCAATTAGGGTACACTTAAATGGCAGTTCTACAGTTAACTGTAGAAATAGATCTGCAAAGCACTACTTCCTCTAATAGTAAGGACTGACGTAACTGCATTTACTCCAACCCTCTCAAACCTCTCACATTCAGATATTAATTTCAAAGAGAAAGAGTCTAACATATCTTTCTGGGGAGTGCTTTTTTTATGTATATGAATTTACATTCCCCCCGCCCCCAGGGAAAATTTGAAGCATTTGAGCCACGGTGGCACAGTGGTTAGAGTGCAATACTGCAGGCTATTTCTGCTCACTGCTGGCTGACTGCAATTTGGCAGTTTGAATCTCAACAGGCTCAAAGTTGCCTCAGCCTTCCATCCTTCTGAGGTCAGTAAAATGAGAATCCAGATTGTTGGGGGCCATATGCTGACTCTGTAAACTGCTTAGAGAGGGCTGTGAAGCACTGTGAAGTGATTGATATTTACTTGCTGTCTGAAGTTATGTAAGTCCCTTAATTTGCCATCTCATTTGCTTAAATTAATTAAATTATTTTCCTTTTTTATTACTTAAAATGGAAACGAGCTCATAATGATAAGGTCAGGAAACAAACCAATAGAAATGATAATTTTGTGCTTATTTCTTAGGCTACTCTAGAGTTTAATAGAACTCAATTATGGGATGCTTAGTGCTAGTGACTTCTCAAAGACCAGCATTAGCTCTATGAAGGTAAAAGAAGGGGTTGACATCAGATTTGACTGCAAAGACTACTTACGTACCCTTCAGATGAAGTCTAAAGCTACGTTGGGATCTAATTCAGGAAAAGCAGACTTTTACATAGTGGTCCTTTCAAGGACTAACTGGGCTGCCACAATTGATTTCATGGGACAAACAGGACCACGTCCTCCACATACCCAGGTTTTAACTATTTAGGAGGCTAAGATTAATAAATAGCCTCTCAAATTTAAATCCAAAATGAGCTAATGATAGTCCACCATCAATTTACTTATTTATTCATTTATCATAATTTATACATTGTTGCCAAAATTAATAGGATAATACCTAGGTTCCCTGAGGTCACTTTTAAATAACTAAAATAATCTAATATACAATAGTTATTCTTTGGATTTGTTATTTTTGGTCTTCAATCTATTATAGTATATATTGTAAGTTTATACTATATCAATAGTAATAGTTTTCGGTAGAAGACAGTTACTAATATAATAGTTTACTGTCACTTATTCCTGAGTAGGGATGTAACTTGTCTACTATAGTGCATTTTTAAAGAAGACACCACAGAAAATATATTATATTTTGCATCTGTTTACAAACTAAGCATTAACTGACCATTAATGCCCCAGGAAATACTTCTCCCTATCAGTTTCTGAATGCACCAAATGCCAAACATTAATTCTTTCAAAGAGCATTTCTACTCCACCTATGTTCTTTTAGTTCCTGTTTTAATCCTGCAGATGTGAGAGGATCTTTCTTAGATTCTTCTTCTTTTCTTTTCTTTTTTGAAAAGTTTTTTTTTAATTTTTAAATATACATCAATATCAATATCAATACATGAACAGTGAGGCACCTGGGTATCAGTCATTACAAGTAGTAATGATAGTATTAATAATATTTGTTACTTAAATCATACTTACGTAAATGTAATGTTATTATATATATTTGTGTTAAAATATAGGCCTTTATTTTTTAGTTATTCAGCATTTTAAGGTTAGGGTTCTAATGACAATAACAATATCATTAAAACATACATCGTGTTACCCTCTTTCAACATATAATATTTACAGCTAGCTATTACTTTTAGTATATTTTATAGAAATATGTATAATAATATTTCCCCTACTTCTTGTTTCTGCTTTTGTTCTGGCTCCTAGTAAAGCCAATCTTGTGTTACAAAACATTTTCTCTATCCATCATCTCTTGCCCATTTTAATATTTCAATTCTTATCTGTTTTTTTACTTGCCTCCCAAACTCTTCCCTTAGGTCTTTATCTCTATCTACATCTTTCCTGTTTAACCTAAGTATTTCTTCCATCTCTACTATCTTTTGCTGTCAAGCCTCCAGAGGGTCTGCCCAAGTCTCTATCTTCTTTTCAAGAATATCTTTCTGTTTATCCAGTACAATTTTTTGGTCTTTTAGCATGTATTTTCTCTGAATTGTTTCATAAATCTTTATTGCCTTTTCCTTCTTATCTTTTTGTTTTATTTGTTGATTTGTCTGTTCTATCTTTTCCCATGGTCTTTCTATTATCTCCTCTATTTCCTGGGCTTTTTGATCATTGTTCATTATCCTTTGTTGAATACTTTCTAGCTTCCCATCTGTTATTCATTAGATCCTTTATCTCCCTGTGATTCCTTATCATAATATCATAAATGCTTTGAAATATTGACACCATTTCTTTTGGAACCCACTTATTTTTCCCCTGCTGAAACATCTTGTCTTCTTTTGATAAGTCCAAATATAGCTCAGTAGTCTGTCAATGGTCTATCCCCGCCCCAGAGTCTCAATTATCTTTGACTTCAGAAAGTCGATCTGGAAACCATTTATTCAATCCTGACGTTGTTCCTCAGGGAATACAGTAATTATAATTATTTATGTCCCACGGTTAATCAATTAGTTCTTTTTAGGTAATCCAGGAAGATTTCCAAATGCCTCCTTAAGTCCACTCTATAAGTTCAATCATAACTCCTAGTATTTGAAAGTCACTTTATTTAGACGTCTTCCGTGTTCTCACCATTAGAGCTCCTGTAGTCATGAAATAGATAAGTATAGAGCAGTAGATAGCACGGCAGTCCTTCAGGTATTATTTATTTCCACTTTCTCCTCTGTCTTATCAGTATTTTCCCCAGGGTTATAGGAGTATAATGTCTATTCCATTCACCAGTAGCTGGCACCTTCAGCTTAACTTTCAATGTTGCCCAAAATCTGACAGGTTCCATTAGTATTTATTCAAATAAATAATAAAAATTCTGACAAGTAATTTCAGCATTTTAAAATTCCTTATTGCCAATAAAAATTAGAAATCCAATCTTTCTATGTTTTTAAAGGTTTTGCGCTCTCTTAGAATCTTTTCTTTCGGGTCTATCATTTTTCTCTCTGTAATTTCTCACTGCTTAAACAAACTTTTCAAAGACTCTCTTTTCCAGAATTTATTTTCTTTAGGGTAGGTTTTAGGCAAAAAAAAAAAAAAAAAAAATCACCTCACCCAGTTCCAGTCATTGTTCATCCACACTGCTCCAGCACATTCTTTGTTTCTTTGGCTGCCTCGGCTTCATGGCAGCCATAATGGCTGTCTCTCCTCTTCATCATTGGATGAGAGGGAATTAGCCCTGGGTCAACAGGAAAGCCGCCACTCTCTGAGACCTGCAGGGCACCCCTCCACTCTTTGTCACCCCTACAGGGTGACTTTAGCCCCTTATGGGACCCTCCAACAAACAGATTCGGTGTGAGTTCGCAGAGCTCTGCTCCTCATGTCCAATAGCACTGCAAGATCAACTGGAAGTCCCAGATCAGTGCTTCTTATTGTGTTGATCTTCAATTCCTATAATTCCTAGCAAGCATAGTTTTGAATTTTGTCACTGTTGTGACACTATTGTGTTGTGGACACTATTGTGACTCCAATAGAATTACAGACCAGTTAGGCAAGTCCTCTTAAGCAGTCTTGCCCTTAGGATAACAAACACTGATAGCTCCTAGAAAAAGCCCAGAACTTGGATATATATATATATCTATATATATTTCTATATCTATATTATATATATATGTATAATTGTCAGTATAGAATTTTTATTAAAACTGCATAACCCAACAGGCATAACCAACTGGAGTTTATGACTATTCTAGATAGAAGCATCAGTTTAACTACAGCATTCAGTCATTTCTATATTTTTGGCTGTTTGCCAATCCACGTAAGCTCTCCTTGGTTAAAATGTCTATAGCTATGTCTATTTGGCACAACAGGAGAAAAATATAAATTATAGCATATTTTTGAGGAATATTATTTCCTCCTTTGGATTTAATTGGTTATTTTTCTCACCCTCAACAGTTTGGCTGTCACGGAGTTAAAAACTGCAAACCCATATCAACATGTTTCACTTCAAGACATATATTGACAATATTCAGAAGTTGAGCTTACGATACAACGAGGTTTGCTCTCATTTCCATTTTCATGAACCAAGGATGCTGAACAATAAGTTCTGGGAGAGTCAGGAGTGACACATTCGTACTTTATAATAAATATGGGTGATTGTGTGAGTTACTCCCATTAAGTTTAATAGTAGCCACATGGTAAATTTCCCTCTGATTGCACCATGGCTCTCGGCCATCGTCTGATTGCACAAGACAGTATTTGGATGAAAGATCGACTAACCAAAATTAAGTACCACAGGAAGTCGTGGGATTGACTAAGAACTCACATTTGGAGCACTGCTTAATGAGTCTTCAGAGAACTTATGTTGCAGAATACAATGAAGATTTCTGGAATAAATAATGCTTGGAGCAGATGCTTAGCTGGAGTCAAAAATTTTTTACTGTTTTTAAAAATTAAGACCAATCAATAAGGTTTTGTTTTGTATAAAAAGAGAAACAGAGTTGAGGGGCTATTCCTGAATTCCTGCACATCACACTAGCCTCTCCCAATCTGTTGGATATGAATTAAATTGTAAATTAAGTTCACAATGGAGACAAAATTGGGAATTGTTCTTTTTATATAAACAAGCAATTAAAAAAGGGGGAGTCCAGCTTCTACTGCCTCCTAGTTTGCCTTGTACTTCTTGCTGTACTTTTTTTATTGTTTGAGAAATTACCCATGGCAATTCTGACAGTCTCAGTACTGTAGCTTCATCAGACATGGAGGATGTTAAGTGGAACAACTTACCTCCAGAAGTTGTGAATGCTCCAACACTGGAAGTTTTTAAGAAGATGTTGGATAACCATTTGTCTGAAGTGGTGTAGGGTTTCCTGCCTAAGCAGTGGGTTGGACTAGAGAAGCGGTCACAAATTGGTGGTCCGTGGACCACTGGTGGTCCACAGAAAAATTATTTGCATTTTTTTATATTGCACTAAATCAGGGGTTTTCAAACTATGGCCCCTGGACCAGATACATGCAATGAACGTTTGTGATATACTGTATACATTTTAGGACTAATTAAAAGTGAAAATTTAAACAATATAATACTAATATTTAGTATTGGTAATGGTATATTGTACTTAATATGTATAATATGCAACACTTTTAATAATTTATTCAAATATTAGATGATTAAAATACCATACTATAAACAAGTAATCTTGCAATGAATTTTATGGCAAGGTGCTAGGATTTTATAAAATCAGTAAATAGTCATTATATTTAAAAAAAGATTATTCTACAAGTTCTGTTCTTTCAACTGCATCATATTTGACAAGCTGTCAGGCAAAATAAATATAATAATAGTAATAATAATAATAATAATAATAACAACAACAACAACAACAACAACAACAACAACAATTGTACTCGGCACACTGGGTGCTGTGCCTAAAGACCTAGGCAAACACTTAAAAACAATTGGCGCTGACAAGATCATCATTGGTCAGCTGCAGAAGGCCACCTTACTGGGATCTGCTCGCATAATCCGCTGATACATCACACAGTCCTAAACGCTTGGGAAGTGTTCGACTAGTGATTTGTGATACGAAATCCAGCATGGTCATCTCGTTTGCTGTGTATACTGTCATTTTTGTATATATAATAATAATATTGAATCCTTCTTTATAAGTCACATGATGCAAACCAGGTACAAATTAATTATGTTCTCAGATTGAGTTGTAAATCTTTCCCACTCCAATCAGGCCACTTTGGTTGTTGTCATCCCACTTTTTTCCCTAACTCTACAAGGCAGTATCAGAGTACCAGGAAGAGGTTTCCCCTCTGCCCCCTCTTCTTATTTTGTTATGAGATGGTCAGTTTCTCTCTCAATGTAGGGGAAGAAGTGGCAGAGCGTGGGAATGTAGTTAAAAGAGGGATCAGCCTAGAATTCCCACATAGCCACAAGCAGACTAAGCCCAACCCACTTTGAATTCCATTGATCCTTATATAACTCCTAGCAGGTACTAATTCTCACTTGAAAATATTCCTGTGCATAGACATGAGTAGCAATAATTCAATTAATTGATCTTCCCATGTGGACCTGGTCTTTCCATGTGCTGTAGCTGCCAAAAAAGGCAACAGAGTTCTAGGCTGCATTAACAGAGGGATAGAATCAAGATCATGTGAAGCATTAATACCACTTTATAATGCCTTGGAAAGACCACACTTGGAATATTGCATCCAGTTTTGTTGCCACAATGTAAAAAAAAAAATGTTGAGACTCTAGAAAGAGTGCAGAGAAGAGTAACAAAGATGATTAGGGGACTAGAGTCTAAAACATATAAAGAACAGTTGATGGAATCGGGTACATCTAGTTTAATGAAAAAAAGGACTAGGAGTGACATGATAGCAGTGTTCCAATATCTCAGGGATTGCCACAAAGAAGAGGGAGTCAAGCTATTCTCCAAAGCACAAGAGGGCAGGACAAGAAGCAATGGGTAGAAACTAATCAAGGAGAGAAGCAACCTAGAACTAAGAGGAAATTTCCTGACAGTGAGAACAATCAACCAATGGAACAGCTTGCCTTCAGAAGTTGTGGGAGGTTCATCACTGGAGGCTTTCAAGGAGAGATTGGACTGCCGTTTGTTGGGGATGGTGTAGGGTCTCCTGCTTGGGTGGGGGGTTGGACTAGATGACCTACAAGATCCCTTCCAACTCTGTTAATCTAAATCTAAATCTAAATCTAAATCTAAATCTAAATCTAAATCTAAATCTAAATCTAAATCTAAATCTACTCCACTCTATTATTTCAGGCCTGATGCTCAATTTTGTGTAATACATTCATGAAGGTGTCACCCACTCATAAGTTTCATATCTTGGAATACCTGCGATTCCCCAGAAGGTTTCTGGGGAAATGAAGATAAGAAGGAGACTCTCAGCAAATCATTTTGCTACTAGTAGTACTAATGTCCTCACCACCAACAACCACATACTTACTCATGGTATTTGAAGATTTCTTCATTCTACAGAATTACAATATGAAGTATAACCCAATATAAAAAAGGAAATTGATTCTGACACTGTTTAAATAAAAAATAACTAAATCATTTAATATAATCATTTTTAAAAGGTAAGTGAAGTATCAAACCTTCAATTAATAGACTCCAAAGCAGTAAATGTCCCTCTAAGAGCAAAGTATTTCTACCAGAAAAGTTGGGAAAATTCATATAGAAGACAGTATTTTATTATTATTATTATTTTAATGTTCCCAGTCTGCCAGCTGAAATATCCTTGCAGAACATAACATGGTGCTCTTTTGAAGAATTTGAAAAACCAAAAGGAGATAAGGGAATTGGTGCAACTGACATGTTGATAGATTTTAAACATTAAATGAGTAGTAAAATACACTTCTGGCTGCTTTGCTAGTTATATCACATTTGACTTTAGGAGTAAAAAAATATTTTTCTTTTACCGATAGTTTTTCTCCAGGTTTGCCATTCTATTCTTGTGTATCTATTTGTAATCCTAGGAGGTCCTGTTAGCTTTGCAAACTGTTTTGGCAGAAGATGCAAGATATTCATAATTTTATAATACATAGTTACTTTTAATGTTGTTTCTTGACATTCTGAGTATAGCTAAAACCTTAATATAACAATAACAAAAGTATAAATTTCAGGGTGAATCAAGTCTTCCCCTTTCAACGTTTGCTGAGAAAGAAAAATCCATTCTGCTCACCTAGGCAGGAAGGAAATTTCATTCATTGTAATAGCTTGAAAATGTTTACAAATCGTTCTACAATTAAATACTGGAATTTCTGAAAACATCATTTTGAGTAATAAAGATATTTCTTAAACTGGAATATTTTATTGTCTTTCAGATCAGTTGTTTTTAAAAATCCACAGTATCTTTAATGTTGTTAGATTTGGCTCTGCTCTTACCACTTCTAAGGGCAACCTAGTTTTCTTTCATATGTAAGCTGCTGAGTAACTATATTCTTGTTTTATTTGGATGCTATTTTTAATACCAGAAAGAAAAAACAACATGGTCCAAAAGAATGGACAGGACATCCAAGGAGAAAAACACCAAGACTCAAGGCTGTAAAAAGGCGTTCTTAAAACATTTTATTATGACTCCAAAAGGGCATCCATATTTAAATTCCTCTTTCATTTTATGTTGAAGATCTATTGCTTTTGTGACACCAGACCTCCTAATGTCTGCTGTAGCATGTTGGGAGCCACAGTCTTATTTTTCCAAACAGCCCCTTAAATGAATGCAAACTTTTACTAGCACAAGTTTTTCACCTACCTGACAAATTATGCAAAGTGAGGATAAAAGGTGATCTCTATGCAACACCTGGGCTTCTGTTACATACTTGCATCTGTGATTAAACTGTCAGTGTCGGCTACTTTAGCAATGTTAATTACTTGCTTCAGACGTTGAGAGAGACTAATTCCAAGAGTGAAGGTCCCTCTCATGCCACACATATGGGAAATGATTATCCTGGTCATAGCTTGGGATCTCCCTTAGATCTCACAATATTTTACCAAATGTTTGTCTACTAAATTGGGCAAAGTCATGTAGGAGCCTACAGGTGCGAAAGGCTTAAATAGAAAGATACTATGTAAGTACTATATATATAATCGGGCTTTTTTTAGGTTGAACTGCTATGTAAAAAAATGTTCTCTATGATTGAAACCTGCTATGAAGAATTTTTTTAGCAATATGTGATTAAATGACAAATGTAGAGTTATTTGCCACACTGAGCTTTTCTCAGAAGGATCTAGATCATCAAACCATCTTGAACTTTGGGCTATTGGACATATGAATCACTAGTTTGAAACCCTTTAAGAAAAAATTACCCAACTCCTCAAAATAGCAACCCATATTCTAACTTGGGCCATTATCATAAGCCACAAAGCTAAGGACCAGATCAGAATTGTTTGGGTTTAGGAATCTGGATAAATCAATAAACTTTCTATTATTTTTTCTCCTTCACCACATATATATATATGATCTTAGGCTGAAATGAAGTAGTTACATGCCAAGATATTTCAATGAGATCACTATAAATGTTTTATTGTTTTGCTCTCAGCTTGAGTTTCTCTACCATTTATAGAGAGACCTTTATGGTCATTTCTACTAGTAGTTGGATTATCTTAACACATCGCTTTTAGACTATTTTTTACTAACTACTTTCCCCTATTAAAAAGGAGAAAATTATATTAGACTTACTATACATATATTTTTTCTTATCAGAGATGATCCATTTGTTATATGTAGAGAGCATTGTAATGCTCTCTACATGGGGCTCCCCTTGAGGTGCACCCGGAGGCTCCAACTGGCGCAGAGTGCGGCCGCGCGGGTGGTTATGGGAGCAACATGGAGCTCCCATGTAACACCTCTCCTGCGCGAGCTGCATTGGCTCCCGGTGGTCT